GTTACTATTGCTCTGTAGTGCAGTTTAAGATCTGATATAGTGATGCCTCCTGCTTCACTCTTCTTGCTAAGGATTGTTTTAGCTATTCTGGGTCTCTTATTTTTTCAGATAAATTTCATGACTTTTATTTCTATTTCTATGAGGAATGTCATTGGGATTTTGATTGGAATTGCATTAAATCTGTATAGTGCTTTTGGTGGTATGGTCATTTTAACAATATTAATTCTACAAAGCAAGAGCAAAATAGATCTTTACATCTTCTAAAGTCTTCTTCAATTTCTTTCTTTAGTGCTCTGTGGTTTTCACTATAGAGGTCTTTCATCTCTTCTGTTAAATTGACTCTCAAGTATTTTTTTAGGCTATTGTAAATGGGGTAGTTTTCCTCATTTCCCTTTTAGAGGACTTGACACTAATGTACAGAAATGCCTTTGATTTATGGGTATTGATTTTATATCCTGCTACTTTGCTGAATTTATTTATTCATATTTTGTAATTTTTAACATTTTAAAGTAGTTTTTCTTTTATTGCTTATGTAAAATAGTTATCATAACTCATGGTAATGGTGCCACCTATTTCATATGGTTATCATAAGTTTACTACTAACACCCTTACTATTTTGGGAGATTGCTAGTGCATATTATTTACTATGGGTGCTAACAGCTAGTAGATAGTACTTACTAAAGGTTGGCTAAGGCGATAAGGTCTAAGAGGGTGAAAACCTACCTCCTGCCCTGATGGTGGAGGGACAGTATTCTTCAGTTAGTGGAGCCAGCCTTGACCGACTGATGATTTCTCTTGAGGTCCCTGTGTTTCTCATGGAGGTTGTGTTTGCAAGTTCACCTGTTCAATTTGGAAAACTTTTACTTTTCTTTTAATAACAGAGTTTTTCTTTTTGGTTGCATAAATTGATCTCTGGAGACCACCATTCCACTTGAAGCCCTGCCTCTAGGGAAGCCACTGTGCTGAACCTTGGCTTCCCTCCTGCTTTCCAGCTCCAATAACCTGAAGATGAACAAGATCACAGACTTCATGTCAGTTCTTCCTAGAGGCATATGGAGAAGGCACACCACCGCAGGCGAATGTACTTGCACACACACACACACACAGTTGTAATCTCCATAAATTTGTTTTCTAACATTTTGAGACTGTCTGAAAAAGGAAATAACTTTTAGAAGCATTCCCACTGTGGACCATACCCAAGTCATGCACTTAAAAGTAAAGAAAACTGGAAGCAATGCCCTCAAACACTCACAAACTTCTGATACACTGTAGCGGGTGAGTAGATGTTCTTTGTTCCCATTTCCTCTTTATATTCTCTTTATGGCTGTGACTCTCCATTTCTTTTCCATCTGCTTTCACTTATTGAGGAACTCATGCAGAGTTTTCTGCTTGACTAGATGGAGCCCCATTACCTCTCCACCTGTGTTCAGTCTCTGCCAGACTTTGCTGTACACCACGGCACACAGTGATTGCTCACAGTTAAGCCAGCTCTATGGGGACCACAGGAGGATCTCATTCTAGTGACATCCTGTAATCAAATGTTGCTTTGCACTTCTCCATCAGCCATTCACATGTCCTCTGTCATGATCACAGGAATGAAACTGATTGCAGTTTTTCTCACCACATCACCTTACTGACACGTTCAGTGCTTATTAATTAAAATATTGAACTCATGTTAATGTATTTGGAAAGGTCATTATAAAGGATTATAGTACAAACCTCCATTTTAAACCAAATCCTTTTTCTTCTCATATCCTGAAATGAGAAAGGATATGAGGAAGAGATATTCTTATAAGAAATTTATCTGCACATCTACTTGCTTTCCAGTGTGCTACAAATATGTAATAATAAAAGTGAATTAAAGAACAAACTAATAAATATTTATGTCATACAAGCATCCAAACCTAAAACCTAATTAGATAAAAAAGCTTATCTTGTTTGCAGCACGGGCCTTTGTGATAAAATTTTCCACTAGCCTCTAACACACTCATCCATCACTCTATGGAAAAGTAGCAATAAAAATATCCACTCTCCTAAAGTCAGCTTTGTCAAAGCCTGTCAGTATCAATTTTTTGTTTGTATTGCAATTTGGGATTTGAAATCATGCCTCATTTCAAACTTCTACTCATAAGAGTGGATAACTTCAGTTGATTACCTTGATAACATAACATAAATATTTCTAAGTGACAACTTAGTACATACAAAACTGTCTGCAACAGGTTCCTGTTTTCTCTGTACTTCTGGCCCTTGATTTCTGAACAACTGCATAATCTTAGGTTCTTGTTGTTACTCATAAGAAAAGCAAAATCCCAGAGGTTCAATTCCTCTACCCCTCTTCCTGAACATTTGCTTTATCTGTCTGAATTCCAAGATAAGAATAAGCAACAGTGCTATTTTTAAAAGTTGTATTTTGCAATCTTTTCCCTTACTTCTGAATGCTCTATCCACATTTAATGCACAGTGACATCAGATTCCATGGGGAGTTGGCACAAGGCTGACTTTAACTATTTTAGTGGCCAATTTGACAGTGTTGGTTGGTGCTCAGGGGTCATCAACCTATTATGTGATTGTGTATAGTTGTGTTTTTTCAATATTTTTCTTTCTCATTGGTAATAAAATAACTTTAAAAGACACTTTGTATCTATGCACTAATGTAGAGTTGTGTGATTGCAGCTGTGCCTGTCAGCACTGTAAATGAATACTTGGCCTCTGAGAGGGTGAGGGGCACTACAGTATGTCCATGCAGTTGTCCACAGGTCTTGAGAGCCGCTGGATTCCCCATCAAAAGAGGTTCACAGCTTTCCTAAGGAGAGGTGGAAGTTGTCACAAAGTCCATGAGACTCATTCCTATTAGGAGGACATCCCAGTTATGAGTTCTCTTATCTTCCCTGGCTCATCTCAGGGCCTATTTGAACACTGGAAAATAATCATTTGCTTTCATTATGATTCCCTCCATAAAAACAAAAGGGGCTTAATTCATGTAGGTAGGATGAGTGCCTCCAGGGCGATATGCAAGGAACGGCAATGAACCCCTCTTTCCTTCACTACAGGTGGAAGTGGAAGCTGCATGGATGGGAGCAACCTGACCAGGGTCACTGAGTTCATCCTGCTTGGGTTTCAGAATGAGAAACCCGTGAACATTCTTCTTTTCTCTGTGTTCCTGCTCATGTACCTGACATCTCTGGTCGGCAACACCCTGATCATCCTTCTAGTGTGCTGTGACCGACGCCTGCACTCACCCATGTACTTCTTCGTAGCCAACCTCTCCTTCCTTGAGGTGGCCATCACCTCCACGGTGGTGCCTGAGATGCTGGCCAACACTTTCTCCCTCACCAAAGCCATCTCCTTTGTGGGCTGCCTCACGCAGTCTTTCTTCTACTTCCTCTTGGGGTCCACCGAGTTTTTCCTCCTGGCGGTCATGTCCTTTGATCGTTAGGTCGCCATCTGCAACCCACTGCGGTACGTGCTCATCATGAACAGACAGACGTGCGCGGCGCTGCTCCTGGGGTCTTACGTGGGCGCCTTTCTGTCCATCCTGGCGCCATCAGTTTTAACGGCCCCCCGCCCTTCTGTGGGCCCAACGTGGTGAACCACTTCTTCTGCGACAGCGCCCCGGTGCTGAAGCTGGTCTGCGCGGACACCTCTCTGGCGGAGCTGGCGGACTTCGCCTCCTCGGCGGTGCTGCTCCTGGGCTCCCTGCTCCTGACCGGCGTGTCCTACACCTGCATCATCATCACGGTGCTCCGGATGCCCTCGGCGCAGGGCCGGCGCAAGGCCTTCTCCACCTGCGCTTCGCACATCACGGTGGTAACGCTGTACTATGGCAGCTCCATCTTCATGTAGGTGCGCCCGCGGAAGGGCGGCGTGATGGACGTGAACAAGTTCGCCACCGTGCTGAACACCATCGTGACGCCCATGCTGAACCCCTTCATATACAGTCTGCGCAACGAGAAAGTGAAAGGCTCGCTCAGAGACGCCCTGGTGAAATGCCCTAGCAGACTAGGGACAACCATGTGCCCAAGGTGACACTTCCACGAAGGTGCCCTCAGGACGGGCTGCAAAAGCATTTATTGGTACAGAGTTAATTTTCCATGTGAGGGGTTAATGACCTCTTAATGCCTGTTAGACTCTCCAACAGAGGCTGACAGATGAGAAATAAGACACGTGCTGCATTTGTCAGGCATGAT